GCTCCTGGGGTCAAGTGATCCTCCCACCTTGGCCTCCTAAAGTGCTGTGATTACAATTGTGAGCTACCATGCCCAGCTCCCCTTCCTTATCTTCAAAGCTTCTGAGGTAGAGAAGCCACAGTCTCTTCCTTCAAGGGTTTTTCCTGCTTAGAGAACAAAGGCCTCTGGTTCATCTCCCACATGCCAATCTATGACAGTTCAGGAGAACCCATTCAACTTCCATGAACAGCCACCACACCAAGCAGGACAGGAGACCACAAAAGCCCTACACACTGGCTGTGGCTCCCGGGTACCTGTGCTGTGGACAGAGGTGAAGGAACCACCAACTCTGACATCAAGGAGGTCCGGGGCTGGAGGGTGGGGAAGACCCAGTGCTACCAATAAGTTCTAGAGCCAGACGCCTGAGTTCCAGTTGTCCTTTGACTGTTACTGTGCAGCCTCGGGAAGTCCTTACCTCCCACAGTCCCTCCTCTGTAAAACAGGAAAATAACAGCCATCTCGGAGGCCTGTCCTGTCCTGAGGATTAAGTCAGATAAGATACTGTGCTGGGGACATAAGACCCTAAGAAACAGGGCTGTGCCTGGCTCAGAGGAACACTTGTTGCACCAGAGAGAGGAGGGGGGCCAGGAACAAAAGAGAAACAGAGGAAATGGAGCTGGTTCTTATGACAGGCCCCTGGAAAACAGGGCTCCCCGGGGCAGGAGTGTGGGAAAACGGTGCAGTTCTCACCCCAGTTGCACCCAACAGCAACCCGGGAGCTTTCTGAAGCCTAGGCCACATCCCAGCAGCGTTTCTGGTATGGGACCCCAGCATCGGAACCCCAGCGGCAGCTGAGGGAAGCCCTGGGTAAGCACGGCTGAGTAAGCCTGTGTTTCCCATACTCGCTTAACCAGAGAAACCCATTAAAATCCTTCTGGAGAGTGAAAACATACTGGGAAAAGCCAGCAAGAGTTTACAGCACAGGCTTTGGAGCCGGGAGGCTTGATTCATGCCTGATTCTGCTGCTGACAGCAAGGAACTCTGTCTTCCTCTCTTATAAGGCAGACAGGAGCATGCCGACCTCTCCGGGTAGCTAGGAGGATCAAATGAAGTCGGGAGAGTGAGGTGATGAGCCACACGGGGAACACTTCCACATGGCAGCAGCTAGTACTGGTTAGAAGACAAAAAGATCCTGAGCCCGTGGGTTCGAGACCCACCTGGATAACTTGGCGAGACCTCATCTCTACAATAAATCAAAAAATCAGCCGGGCGTGGTAGCGCATGCCTGTAATTCCGGCTACTTGGAAGGCTGAGGCGGAAGGATCGCCGGAGCCCAGCAGGCGAGGTTGTGGTGGCCGGGAGCGGCCACTGCACTCCAGTCTGGGCGACAGAGTGAGACTCCAACTCAAAAAAAAAGAAGACAAAAGGAAGCCCGGTCCCCGCCCCAACACGGGGTCTGCATTCACTTCCTCTGCAAATCCACACTGAGGACCCACTACATGCCAGGGTGACACAGTGATCAGCATAGATGTGGGCCCAGCCCAGAGTACAGTCTGGCAGGGCAGACAGATGTGAATCAAAGTATCGTACGGCTACATAAGTCATGTACATCCTTACTGATATGATGAAGGCTACCAAGGAAAAAGCGAGGACAGGGACTGTGAGAATGTTGAAGGTAGGCTCACGTATCAAGGAGACCCACATCCAACTGGGGGCTCTAGGAGGGCTTCTCTGAGAAAGGGGCATCTGAGCCAAGATCAGAAGAATAGGCATTAACTGGGTGCAGATGTAAAGGGTGAAATGAGCCGGGCCCAGTGGCTCAGCCTGTAATCCCGCGCTTTGGGAGGCCGAGGTGAATGGATTGGCTGAACCCGCGGGTTCGAGACCCGCCTGGGCAATTTGGCAAGACCTCATCTCTACAATAAGTCAAAAAATTAGCCGGGCATGGTAGCGCACGCCTATAGTTCCAGCTACTTGGAAGGCTGAGCAGAAGAATCGCCGGAGCCCAGCAGGTCGAGGCTGCGGTGGCCGGGAGCGGCCACTGCACTCCAGTCTGGGTGACAGAGTGAGACTCCAGCTCAAAAAAAAAAAAAAAGGGGGAAATGAGCCAGGAGAAGGAAGCAGAGACAGAGAGGAGGGAGTCTGGACAAGGGCAGAGGAGGAGACAGATGGGAAACATACCAGACAGCAGAATGGGCAGGGCCTGCTGGAGGTGAGGGGGAGAAGGCAGACGTTGGGACTCCTGGGTTTTTGGCTTGAAAGCCAGGATGGATGGGTGCTGACACTGCTACCCCCTCCCAGAGTCACAGGTCAAGGCACTTTCTCTTCCGCAGTTACCAACATACCAGTCGTCTTGCTCATTTATTTGTCTGTCCCCCTACCCCCATGACAGAGCTCCAGGAGGACAAGGATTTCTGTCTGGTTCACTGAGTAAGCCCCAGAGCCTTCTGCAGGGCCTGGCACTTAGCGGGTCTTAGTAAGTTTGTTGAATGAATGAATACACTCAGAAGAAACTACAGGCAGTCCCCGACTTATTTTTTCACTTTACAAGTGGAAAATGAATGCAATATGCATTCAGTAATAGAAGTTGTATTTCAAGTACCCACACAACCATTCTTTTTTCACTTTCAGTACAGTAGTTATTAATAAGTTACATGGGATATTCAACACTTTATTATCAAACAGGCTTTGTATTGGGTGATTTTGCCCCACTGTACGCTAACGTGTTCTGAGCATGTTTAAGGTAAATCAGGCTAAACTATGATATTTGGAAGGTTAGGGACATTAGGTGTATTCATTTCTTTTTTTTTTTTTTGAGTCTAGGTCTTACCCTGTTGCCCAGGTTGGACTTCAGTAGCACAATCACGGCTCACTGCAATCTCAACCTCCTGGACTCAGGTAATCCCTCCGCCTCAGCCTCCCATGTAGCTGGGAGGACAAGTGCATGCCACCATGCCTGTTTCATTTTCTGGATTTTTTTTGCAGAGAAAAGGTCTTACTATGTTGTCCAGGCTGGTCTCGAACTCCTGGGCTCAAGTAATCTTTCCACCTCAGCCTCCCAAAGTGCTGGGTTTGTAGGCATGAGCCACTACATCCAGCTAAATGCATTTTTGGCTTATGATGGGTTTATCAGGACATAACCCCATTGTAAATCCAAGAATGTGTACATGGAGATAGTAACAAGCAACACCTTCCTGGGGGTTCATCTGGGAAGGAAACCTGAGCCAATAAAATCATCTTGCATATAGATGATGACAGTAGTCATGGTAATGATAATGAAAAGTGACCACACTCCCATTTATTAAGCGCCTACTCTCTGTGAAGATCCTCACCCTTACAGATTTTATAACAAAAGCGCCCATGTTTTGAGGGCAGATTATGTCCTAGACAATGTACTAAGTGCTTCAATGGGTTTTTTTTTAGATTGGAAAGTATAGTTTATTTAGAAAGTAGGTAAGAGAAAGAGAGCCAACAATTTTTTAAAATGATTTCTTCTATACCCTTGTAATTTTTCAAGTCAGGGTCTTACTCCCTATGTTGCCCAGGCTGGTCTTGAACTCCTGGGCTTGAGCAATCCTGCCACCTTGGCCTCCCAAAGTGCTGGGATTGAGGGTGTGAGCTACCATGCTGGCCTCCATTCTGTATTAGTCATGGTTCTCCAGAGAGACAGAGTCAACCGAAGATAGACCGACAGAGGTGTGAGAGGATGTTTATTTAAGGGGGATTGACTCTGGCAATTATGGAGGTTGAAAAGTCATACAGCAGGCCCTCTGCAAGCTAGAGACTCTAGGATGCTGGTAGTGTGACTCAGTTCGAGTCTGAAGGCTTCAGACTCAGGGAAGCCCATGATGGAACTTTCAGTTCAAGGACAGAGGCCTGAGAATTGAGGGTGGGGGGTGGGGGGAGGGTTGTAGTATAAATCCCAGAGTCTAAAGGCCAGGGAGCCTGAAGTTGTCCAAGGACAGGAGGGGAAGGGTATCTCCAGTCCAACAGTCAGTTCTATATACGCACCTTTTCTCTGTTTTTGTTCTCTCTGGACCCCCAAGTTGGATGTTTGAATTCATTTATTCTTCCTAAGGACCAACTTCCAAGAGGCCAAGAATGCTCCTACATCAGGGCTTTGTATTTACTGTTCCCTCTTCCTGGAATGCTCCCCCTCCTCCCACTTATCCAGGGATTTGATTCCTCCTCTTCCTCTGAAAGGCTCTCCCCCATCATCCACTACCCCATCCCTCTTCTGACTCTACTCGTTTTATTTATAAAACGTCTCACTAGCTGATGGCGTATTTCTTTCTATCTATCTATTTATTTATTGAGTCGCAGTCTCACTCTGTCGCCCAGGCTGGAGGGCAGTGGCACGCTCATGGCCACCACAACCTCGACCTGCCGGGCTCAAGCAATCCTTCTGCCCCAGCCTCCCAAGCAGCTGGAACTACAGGCATGTGCCATCACGCCCAGCTAATTTTTTGACTTATTGCTGAGATGAGTTGCCTAGGTTGGTCTCGAACCCATGGGCTCAGGCAATCCTCTCACCTTGACCTCCCAAAGTGCTGGGATTATAGGCGTGAGCTACCGCGCCCCGCCTTCAATTTATTACTTGACTCCCCTACTGAAAAGTAAGCTTCAGGAGAACAAGGATTTTGTCTGTCTTGTAAGTGCCTAGAAAACAACAGGCGTTCAGTAAGCGGATGGCGAATGAATAAATGCCCCACTCTAGGACTTAGGTACTGTTATGATGCCCACTTTACAAAGGAGGAAACTGAGGCACACGAAGATTAAGTCACCGGGTCCACACCTAGTGAATGACGGAGGCGTCTCGGTACTCGTCCAATAACAGCAGTATAATTACTAGCTGCTTACTCAAGCCTTGAACTGAGGGCTTCACCCTGAGTCATCTTGCTCAACTGCAGCAATAACCTGCAAGGCCGGCGCGGTCGCCATCCCGCTTTACACTGAAGGAAGCCAGCGCCAGATAACCAACGGGGCGGGGCTGGGGCTCGAACCCAGGCGTTCCCCGAGGCCTTCTCGTCGCGACCTTCGCTTCCTCCCCCTACCCGCCGGGGCCCGGCGCTCACCCCCGGGCCGGGGTCGGGGCCTTGAGCCCACAGCTCCGCGACCATCTCCGTGTGCAGGAACTCGAACAGCACAGCATCCGCCATGCGCCGGCCTTGCGCGCCTCCGCACCGCCCAGCGCTTCCTGCTCTCATTGGCCAGACTGAGCAAGCTCCGCCTCCCACGTCGCGGCGCGAGCCCGCCTACTCCCGCTTCCATTGGTGTTTTCAATAAGCCCCGCCCTCCAGCTCCGAGCTCATGCCGTGCGCGCGTGAGCCCGGGACTCCAGGGGGCGGGCCTACTCCTCCTCTCATTGGCCACACGTGACAACATCTTCCCTGCTTCCGGGTCCTCGGGCATTGCCATTGGCCTCATTACTGGTTACACGTGACGCAATCCTTTTTTTAAAAACCCCTATTGGTCCACCGCAGACTTTCCTCTCAGCACCACTCTGAAGAGCCAGTTCAGCCCTTCTCTATTGGCGACACCTCCACTCACGTGACTCTCGCACACACGCCTCAGAGCGGGTGCTGAGAGCCTGCTTCCTGGTTGGTAGCCGAGCGGCCCCACGTGACTCCGCCGGAGCCCGCCCAGCTCGCCCCCCTATTGGTCGGGACCGCAGCCTCCAGCTCCCACGGTGAAGACGCTGCGGTCCGGCTGGGTAGCAGATCCCGCAGGTATGTTCTTTGGTGACAGCGCTCCCCCCAGGAGTGCCCCCTCCCGAATCCAGCTGGACTGTCATCCTTTCTGTGACTCTGGCACTGGCGCCTGAGCAAGTCGCGAGCCACTGTGCTTCCGGGTCTGAGATGGGCCTGGAAGACCGCGTAGAAGGCGTGGCCTTCGCGGGAAAGAACTCGGTTTGGGAACTCGGGCCCGGACCCTCGATCGGGACTGGGATCCAGTGGCCCCATCAGCACCAGCCTACAGACGGGGAAACCGAGGCCCAGACGGGAGAAACGGCCTCCCCCAGACCGCTAAGGGGAGCAGGGGAGGGGCTGGGAATCCGCGACCCGCGCCCTCTGACCACCACGGGCGCTCGCCCTCACGATGTCCCTTCGCCCTCTTTGCCCCTAGCCGGCGCCATGGCGTCCCGGGGTCGTCGGCGGAGGCCGCCGC